TTTTGGGCCACATCCCTGGGAACTTTGTGTCCCTGCGACCTTGTCAGGCTCTAACCTCATTAATTTCTCTCACTACATTTTTAAAAACCTTTTTTTAAACTACTTGAATCTCTGCAGTCAATTAGAGTACGTTAAATCTATCCTATAAATTTAACCTCCTGAAACAAAGTTCAAAATTTAATAACAATAAAAGTAAAATACTGCAGATGCTGGAAGTCTGAAATAAAAACAGGAAGTGTTGGAGAAACTCTGCAGGACTGGCAGGCATCTGTGGAGAAAGAATAAGTCAAAAGTTTTGAGTCCACCATGACTCTTCTTTGGAACACTTGATTAAATTAATTAATTATAATCCTCCTTCATGCTCAAACATTCAAATAAAACTTAAGTTTTTTTAATCCTTTACTCCAACTGAAATGAAATCTGATAATCTATTCCTCACAAATTGAATATCAATTTAGAGCTAGTGTTGCTCCAGGATGAATCATCCCACACTATATTTATCTGTAAAGCCTTTTGTTTCCATTCTTTGCCAGTTAAATTATTCAAATCTGTCCAACTTCGAGAGAATTGATCAATTTTGCATCAGTTTGGTTTCAGGAGTTTGAATCTTAATTATTAACAGGAGAAATGATTTGTTCTACACTCTGATAATGCAGGCTAGTTCATTTTTAAATCTCATTCATAGACCATTATATGGCCTGTTTGTTGGGATAATGAGACTTGCACCACAGCAGAAACAACGAAAATGCAAACACGTTTAGCACTCAAAATAGTGCACTGCACTTTTGGAACAAAGTGGAAGTTTTAGAGAGGGTGCCGAAAGAATTAATGGAATTGTTCCTAACTGGGGAAGTGAAGTTACTTGGACATATTGAAGAAACTGGGAGAAGAGAATTTTGAGAGAAGATTTTCTGATGAAGGTGGAGTAGTACACTGCCCCTCTCTTCAGTCCTAAATTCCACTGACCACAACAAATTTGTCCATTTTACTCTTATCAATCTGGCCAATTAGATGTTTTATCTATTTAAGAACTATTATAAAGTTCCATTGACCATGTTTCTTTAATATGCCAGCACATCCCTGTAGCTGTGACAGACATATAGGGTAGGTGAATCGGCCATGCTAAATTGCCTGTAGTGCCCAGGGATGTTTAGGTTAGGTCGGTTAGACATGGGGAAATCGGGTAGGGGAATGGGTCTGGGTGGGATGCCCTTCAGAGGAGTGGTGTGGACTTGTTGGGCCAAATGGCCTGTTTCCACACTGTAGGGATTCTATGAAAATGTTTAAGAGTCAGTAGCAAGTTGAGGGTTTCATTTTCCAATGTAGAGTATCTTTTGATGGTGATTTAGCTTTTTGGGTAAGTAACCGACAGACTTCTCTACGTCCATCTCATTTTTTTGTAACAAATACACCGACCAAATCACTCATGTTGAATGCTACCAAGAAGGGATTAGTGACTTTATGAGCAGCCAACCATGGTTCCTTGATCGTTCTTTTCCGCCCCTCAGAAGCTGCTTGACATTCTTGTGATCACATTGCCTTGACTTTTTTTTGTCGTAAATCTATTGGTGGAGCCATTCCAATGCTGAAGTTTGGAACAGACTTGCAGAAGAAACCACACATCCCCAAGAATCTTAATTTCTTTGTTAGTTTTAGGTGCAGGGAACTTTACCAGAGCCTGTACTTTGGCTGTTCTTGGCAGCACTTACCCTTGCCCTGCAACATATCCTAGGTAGGTTACCCATAGATTTGTAAACTCATTTTTGACAAGGTTTATCACTATATCAGCTGATTATAATCTTCTAAATAGAGTTTCTGATTATTCCAAGTGTCACCTAGACCAATAATCAGCAAGGTAAACTGCATAGTCCGGAGCAATGGCTGTCACTTGGTTCATCGTTTTTTGGATGGTGGTTTGGATAATTTATTTTGGTCAAATGGCATCACTTTGCATTGGAAATGACCATTCAGCATGACGTAGGTCAGTATATTTCAGCTTGGAGCATTAATTGAATCTTCCAGTATTCCTTGAACAAGTTCTGTTGTAAGAAATTTGGCAATGGCAGCTCTCTCAAAAGAATCTAGCATGAGGAATTAAGTAGGAGTCTACTTTTGTTACTACACTGATCTGTCTGCCGATAAAACTGTTCACAGTGTTCCAGCTGCAGTCTAACTAGTACCTTGTATTTTTTTTAGCAAGAGTTTGCTATTTTTACACTCCAATGCCCATTGAAACAAAGGCCTACATCAAATTTGCTTTCCCTATTATCAGTTGAATTTGTATGCTAGTTTTTTTTGTGATCTATGCATGATGACTCCCAAATTCCTCTGTGCTGTAACGGTCTGCTTTCTGCATTTAAGTGGTATTTAGCCCCTCTGTTCCATTTGCCAAAGTGCATGATGTCATATTTTCCCAAATTATAGTCCATCTAACTTAAACTGTCTGTATCCATCTGCAGACTGTTGTGTCATCCTTAGCGCTTGCCTTCCCACATATTTCTGTGTCATCTGCAAACTTGCTGATAGTACCTTCACTTTCCTCATCTAAGTCATTAATATATATTGTAAATAATTCTGGCTCTAGCACTGACCCCGTGGTGCTGCACTAGTTACAGGTTGCCCTCCTGACTCTACCACCCACCTCCAATCCCAACTCTGTCTATTAGTTAGCCAGTCCTCTACCCATGCTAATATACTACCTCAGACACTTGACCTTCTATCTTATTGAGTAGAGTATTAAGGAGGTATCTTATTATCTTCTCAAATGCCATCTGAAAATTCAAAAATGTTATTAGATGAAGAGACTCGCTGTATTATAGCTAAATTTACTAATGAAAATAAAGGTAGGAAAACAAGATATAAGAAAGAGACAAAGGCCCAGATCTATTGTCAGTGTTGCCCATGGGCTTGCGGATTATTATGATCCTAGTTGATGCTAATACTGGACAAATCAGATCCCAAACTGCAACGTGGTCTGAGACTTTTTAAAAAAAATTTGCAGGTGCTTAATTTGTGGTTAGTCACTGAAACACAAGGCTGCAAAAGTTCTTTAACATAAAAAATTTATTGCACAAAATTTAAAAAAAAAAGCGACACAAAGCAGGAAGATCTTAACACATCAGGATTTTTTAAAAAAGCGACAGGAAGCAGGAAGATCTTAACACATCAGGATAAAATTTCAACCTGTTTCCCAACACCAGAGTTTCAATCAGATGAATATTACTCTCCCCTCAGTTTATGTTAAAAAATTTTACTTAACTGATTTCCCCTTGTTTCTTTTTCTTGAACTATGGTGAAAAGTTTGATTCTTAAGTCTGCTTACGTGAAATTCTGTCGAGTCTAATGATCTAAACTGAACAGGTTCTCTCAACTTGAAGTTTTCTATCCAACCTTTACCGGCTTGGAAGATCCATAGACTTAAAACCACTCCTGTTGAGCTGATCAGTTAACCTAAACTGACTCGATTCTATTCGTAGGAGAAATTGTTCTACTTTGATTTGAATTCTGCATCTTTGCAACTAAACCTCAGAACTTTCCGTTTTGAAGTCAAAACGAAGTTAAATGTCTTAATATATTTATTCTACGTATCATAAACTCAAGAATATTAACATTTTATCTGCTTACACTACAGAGTTCTCCCAGGGACACTACTCCAGTCACCTGCTTTCTTGGAACTGATGTATTTATGCCACTGTTGCATTTGGCTTTCTGACCTTATAAATAAAACCTTCACAGAACTGACCCACATTTATCTGCCTCTATCTTAAAAGCAAAATACAAGTATATATTTTACACTTTTCATCCCAAGATGACTTCTAAAACCCCTGAGTTAATGGCTTTCCCACAGTGGCTTGAGTAGATTCCCTCTCTCCATTTCTTTTGGTGATTGCTAATGTTGATTGGATGGTTTTAACACCACTTTTGACGATACGTGGCCATTTTGGTCAGAATTATGGCATCCGCTTGTGCTGTAGCTGAAATTAATGGAACAGATGCTGCAGAAGAGTTTGAAATTATCTTTAAATAGTTTCCATTGATGTGTGTGTGAACTGGCTCCTGGAGTAGCTCTTTAAAGAGCACTCGTTTGGACAATCTTGAAGTGGGTATTCTGCCAACAAATCTACCCATCTTGGCTGAGATTATCTTGGCTTGTTTGTGTCTGGGAGGATATTTTTACTTGTTCTTTTATTCCCCCCATTTGGTCACCAAGATCCTTCTCAGACAGCGTTGATTGGTATTGGTAAGTTATTCAAGCCATGGGTCGATGGAGAAGAATGGGGAAAGCCATTGACTGTAAGGTTAAGCCACTGACTGTAAGTTTAGTGTTACATCTGATTATGATTCTTGGAAACTTGAATAGGTAATTTACCATAGATTGAGCTAACACATTGGATTCACTGGTGTACCTCCTTTTTTCAATGTCAGCTTATTGGGTGAGTTGCAGCTACCAACCAGGTCATAGTTAGCTGGGACATGAAGGCAAGCTCTAAAACTTCAGCTGACCACTGCAAGCTAAATCTGGATCTATACAAAAACTTGTAATATGTTCCAATAATTAAAGCAGAATAATGAAAATTTTAAATGTACTGATAATACATGTACATGAACAGCTTACTTGCTGAATCTTACAGTACAGTAATTGTTCTATATGAAGTTTTTGAATCCTTATGATTACATTCCTTCATGTTAAAAAATTTCCAAATTATAGTTTCCAGTTCTGTTTGTGTTTTGAAGGGAGGGAAGGTGTAATTTGAATTCAGTATTATTGATATGTTTTCTATTGGCTACATGAAATGTTGTCTGAGGTTTGCTTTGTGACTACTTCCAGAATGAGAGGAGCCTAAGTTCAGATTGTAATAAGCTTAGTAGTAGGAGGAAATGGTCTTATCGTGTTAATTCAATGGTGATATGAGGCACAAATCATGAAATGACTGTCATTTTGTTGTTTTCTGAAATTTTCATTATCTGTGTATTTATTTTTGTTTTTATTTGTTCCACAGCGCAAAAAGTCTGCAGTTACTTACTTGAACAGCCCTGTGCAACCTGGGACTCGGAGAAGAGGTAAAAAGTCATAAATAACCTCTGGTAAATAATATTTGGAGGTTTCATTATTCACTTAAGTCAGTTTGTACCAATCTCTACTAACTGTAATAATGGATGGAAGATTCAGCTGTTGGTTGATGTTGAGAAATTTTGTGTCTCATAGTAGAATAAACATGAATAGGCTTAACAATCTGTCAGTTCTTCCTTTGATCAGACTTCAAAATGTTTCAAATAAATTTTGTTCATAAATACTTTTCAGAATTTGCTTCCCCTTTTTATCTATTAAAGGGTTATTATATCCCCTGTCTATCTTGAAGATGATCTGCCCTGCGATGAGTCCCAGTATTTGCACTACTTTGGATGGTGACATTTGCTTTGTGTATTATTTAAAAAATGTCATCATGTTATTTTAAAGTGCACACATTAATGGGCTGGCAAAGCAGTGAATTTATGTTCACTGTTCCCATGTTGAGAAATCCCAAGTACACTGTATCATGTAAAAGGCTGCCTTGTGTTATTACAGTCTCAGCTTGTATGTATCATCTTCTCTTCCAAGATTTTGACAACAGTTTATCTGAAGCGAATTTCCCTTCCTATGACCTGAAAGTTGTACATTTCCCTCTTTAAAATGTATAACCAAGAGATTAGCACATGTTCCATTTGTAATATTCTACATGCTAGATTTAAATAATGTCATTTATAGATTAATATATCAATTTTTGTAGTAATTGTAAATTTAATTAACATAATACTAGCAATAAGGAAGTCCATGTAGGGGCTGAGATTCACTCATAAGAACGATTGCAATTTGATTGCAACTTATCCCTGAAATTTCAGCGTATAAAATACTCAGTTTGTTCAGGATTGTGTATGATTCAAAATTGAACTTGCATCTTATCAGAATTTAGAAGAATTTGAGCCCTGTTCCAGATATTCCACTTGTAATCCCACGTGTCACAATTTTAATATATTTAATAACTTAGGAACACTGTACTCAGTCATTTTCTACAGTCCTCCAAGATCACTATACTTCTCCAGTTCTGACCTATTTTCATAGCTCCACCATTTGTGCTTTTAGATGCCTAAGCCATAAACATTTCCTTACACTTCTTTGCCTGTCTACCTTACTTGCCTCCTTTAAGACACTCTATAATACTGATGTCTTTGACTTGGCTTTATGTGATTGGGTGTTGTGTGTTGATTGATAGTACTTCTGTGAAGAAGCTTGGAATATTTTACAAAGTTAACACACAAATGTAAGCTGTAATATATTCGGATAATATTTTTCATGATTGCAGCATTTGTACAATGGACTAAACCATTTCTTTAATATCAAAATCACAATGCTGTCAATGTTGTCAAGAAAATTAACTACTTTAATCAAAACGAAATCAATTCGGGCTTCTTCATAGCAGTGCAGGCACCTCATCATCACCATCATTCTTCTCTTCCCCCTCCCCTCCAAAAAAAATTTGAAAACAGGAAATCAAAAAGCTTTTTTGGTTCAATATGAATACAGGACATTGAATATGGAGTAGGGTCATGCTCCACCTTTAATTAAATTTTTGGGCTAATCCTCAACTTAACTCCACTTGCCTATCATATCTGCATATCACCTGAACTCCTTAGAGTGATCCCCAAGGAGTAACACGCTGTAAACCTGAAAATTACCTGTCTATTGCTACTGTCTGTTTTGTTCAACCTGTTCTACATCCATCTGGTTATATTGTCCCCTAATCCATGAATATTTAACTTATCCATTTTGTATGACACCTTATCAAATATCTTTTGAAAATCCAACTCTTCCCCATCTAATAGTTCCTCTTTAACTACCATGATAGATGCTATTTCAAATTAATCTGTAGATATTTCAATATAATTTCCCATTCATAAAACCAAATTTGAGCCATCTAAGTTGCATTAAGATTTTCTAAGTGTTCTCTTGCTACTTTGTTAACAATGGATTTTGACCTTTTTTTAATGATTGTTGTTTGACTTTCCCATTTACTGTTTCTCTCATTTGTTTACTAATGTTATTACATTTACTACCTTCCAATCCATTGGGAACATTCCAGAATCTGTGGAATTTAGGAAGATAACTAGTGCATCCATCATTTTTCCAACCACCCCTTTTAGCAACACAGAATGTATGCTTTCAGTCTAGAGGATTTGTCAGCTTTTCATTCCATTAATTTTTCTGCACTTTTTTACTGTTAATTATTGTGTAAAATTATTTTTGAGTTCCTCACTTTTATTCTATTTCTGGTATGTATTTTGTGTCTTTTGCACTGAAGACAGGCATACAAAATTTGTTTAGTATTGTTCCCTGTTCTTGTGCTGTGTTATTCTGGGCAATATTATGAATTCTTTCTTGTAATTAAATGGTATCCTTAACCTTTTTAATTAGTCACAGATGGATTACTATTTTTCTGGAGTTTCCAGTCTCAATTTCAGTATTCGTGAAGAATTATGACATGTTTCTTTAAATATTTACCATTGGTTATTTACTGACATAAATTTTTCAACTAATTTCATAATTTATCTTGGCCAACTTGTCCTTTAACATAGTAATTACAGCTATTTGATACTCTAGCTTTAGCCTTGTACCTGTCACTCTGGAATGAGATGTGATTGTAACCTGCTGATTTCACTGTTTCCCAGGAAGATCTCTTACTATGAGATTATTAGATCTTTTCTTCAAGAGAGATATTTAGAGTAGCATTTTCCCTAGTTGATGCCATGACACATCATTTTACAAAAAAAAACTTGAATGCAGCCCATGCATTCTTTTTGATAATTTTGATTTATCCAGTCAATGCAAAGATTGATGTGAAATGAAGTCCTACAGTTGTTAAAGCTGTAATTTTTAGATATACCACTACGCACTTGAAATGTTATTGCATGTTTTAATGTTGGATTTTTGCAATTGAGAATGGATATTTTTATTTTATGATTTGACTTACTTGCATCACTGGTCTATATTTTTGAACTCAGGATCTGTTGTCAATCAAGATGGGATTCTAGAAATAAGCATTACATTTATATGCCTATACACAGTTAATAATTTTTAAAAAGCCTAACCTAGGGGGAAATATAAATGCATAAACCACTTTATAATGCTTGTTTCGAGTACATAAGAAATAGGAGCAAGAATAGACCATTTGACCCCTCAAGCCTGTATGATTACTCAACAAGAAAGGGGAGACAATGGCCTAGTGGTATTATCCAGAAACTCAGGTAATGTTCTGGAGACCCAAGTTCAAATCCTGATATGGCCAGATGGTAGAATCAAAAATGGCATTATGAATAGATTGCTGATTGTCAGAAAAACCCATCTGGTTCCGGGAAAGAAATCTGCCATACTCAGCTGGTCTGGCTAAATGTGATTCCAGATCCACAGCAATGTAGTTGACTCTCAATTGCCCGATGAAATGGCCTGACTTAGTTCAAGGGCAGCTAGGGATGGGCAATAAATGCTGGCCAGCCAGCAATACTCATGTTCCACAAGTGAATTTAAAAAAACCTGGTGCCCGCATTTGTCTTTGCATCAATAAGGTCATCCTCTATCCCACCTCATCTGAATAAAAACTCCACGTAATGATTTTAATTCAACTTTGCAAATTTATTTCTACCTTCTTATTTTCCTTGCCAGGTTCAATCCTGCTAACCTCTTCCCCATTTTCCCATTGCTCAGATTGTAGCCCGTAGATCAAAAAAACAAGTGCTGTGTTTCCCCATGGCATCCAATCATGTCTATTGCTACTTAGTTGACAGGATACCATAAGGCAAAGTACGTTATTTCCATTTCTCCTTTGTCTGACATTTGTTTTGACTAGAGAAACAGAATGAAGGACTGTTATATTTATTCTACAGTGAAGGGCTAACAGTGGAGGCAGTTGTCTTCATTGAAGTATTCTCTTTCATTTAGTTTTATACCCTTTCCCTTCCCAAGCGAGTTCACACCATTTACCAAGCAAGCTGAGACGTACACGAGAATACAGAATGTAAGGTTACTGATGGTCTTGTGTTTGTGCAAAAGATCAGTCGCATTCAAACATCCCTGTTCTTTGTCCTTGCTGAATAGTCTACCTTCAACTCTAAATTATAACTTGCATCTTTTAGCCCTAGTAGTTCAGCCTCTCTATCACCATTATTTATTCGATAAAAATTATCATCAATAGGCTTTTTTATTTGTTGGTGACTTGCTGTTCCTTCTGCATGAAATTTATTGCAATAACTTATCCTAATGAAAATCCAGTAGTTCTGAGATGCAGTATAGATTCACTTTTAAATTTTTTTCTATGCATGTGAGATTTGATCTTCTGAAACACAGACTGTTAGAAATTATTGGTGATTGTTTTAGTCAAAATCCCCTGAAATATGAAATGAAGGTTAGTACATCAATTGTATATGTCTCAGTACAGTAATCTTTTTGTGGAGTAATGTAGAAAAAATAGAAAAAAGATCAAACTTACATTATGAAGATTCAACCTTCGATAGGACAACTAACTAGCAGATCATTTAAAAGTCTTTGGGATAATAAGGTGCATCAGTGTGTTTCACACTGTTTTTGTATTAGACTTGTGTGAATTGGTGAACCCACCCAGTGGGAAGTCTTGGTTAAATCTGTTGATGAGTGCACATTATAAGTAATCAAGAATTTTGATAAGGTAAATTTCACTAGTTGATAGGTAATTAACTAGAAAGCATACTTCAAAATAATCAAAAGAATGAAGCTAGGGGTTGAAGAGAGATAACAAGGTGTAGAGCTGGATGAACACAGCAGGCCAAGCAGCATCAGCGGAGCAGGAAAGCTGATGTTTCGGGCCTGGACCCATCTTCAGGAAAAAAAAATGTTGAAATGCTTTTTACATGAACTTGTTAAAACATGGAATGATTGCCTTTTAGGAAAAAGTGATGGTAACAAAGTGTTTATGGTTTTTAAAAGAGGTAGGAATTGTTTATTTTTAAACTTTGGAGAATGGCATAAATGGATAACTATTTCAGAGACGAGCCAAATAGATCCTGGTTCTGCAGCAATTTTTATTGTTCTGTGAAGTGCTTTCCTCTTTGATTTAAAATGGCTCCAGAATAATAATTGCTGCTATTTTGACGTTTGGAAATTATTTTAGATCATCACAAATGCTTGGCTGTTTGCAAAGCACCCTTCAAACTCTGTGAAATTTGCAATGAGAGTACTCATTTTTTAAACTTTCTTGCATGGATCTTGAAGGCCTGACCAGGAAGTGTTTCAAATTCAGACACTTGAAGAGAAGCAAACAGTATATTACTGATGGACTTTGCAAAAGGATGCTTAGTTTGTGCTACCTTAACTAAGAAGTGACATATGTTTCACCGGGCTCTGTATTGTGTGTTAACAAATATTTCATGCATTTGAGTTACGAAATCTGTGCATGTGTATTCCCGAATATAATATTGGATTTTAGTTTTGTAATGGGTATTTAGAACTACTTCTATGAAAAACGATATCAATAATTAGTATCTAATGTTATTTTAATTGGCGAAATGTAGCAGTTTTCTGAAATATAAGTTGTCTGTTAGAATTGGGATTTGAGCAACCATTACTGTATACCAAACAACTGCATTGGCATTTGATTTAGAATGGCCTCACTATAATATCTTTGAAACATTTTGCCATGCATTGAATTGAAATAAGTCATTCAGGAAGTTGATTTGTTACAGTTTGTTCATTGATTACTAGGTACTCAACCCTGATGTAGTAACTTTGGAAATTTGAGCTGCAAAGTTAGTAATTATTATAGTTCACAGTATAATACAACGACCAGTATTACTGTTTATAATTTTGATTAGATGTGTCTTTTCTGTACATTAAACCAAGTAACACTTGTCCAACATATTATTGCTGATTAAATTTTATGTCATTCTTCCCTTTAATTACATGCCAATTATGTATTTTACTTGTTCCTTGTTTTGATTAATTTAAAACTGTTTATTAATGTTGCTCCTCCTCCTCCTCTTTCCTCAATGGCAGCCAATGAGGATCAGTGGTTGAAGGTATGTGTGTATATATTTTGTGTTTTTTTTTTCTTGTATGTAGGTCGCCCTCCTAAGTACACTAGTGTGCTGGGTATAGGGGCTATGGCACCTTCCTCCCCTCCAAGTCATCCTGCCTCCCCAGATTTCGAAAAAACAGAAAGTTTGCTCAGTTTTGGTGCTCCAGCACAGTCTGCATCCAGCCCCAGCTCTGTAGATGTAAGTTGCCAAATTTCATAAGGTTAATAAGTCAGCACATTGAGGTATTAATTATGCAGGCTTATTTATTTGTCTTGTATTGTGGATAATGGATAATAAAGAAGGAATACTATAGCAATTTAAACCACATTGTGAGCCTTTCCTCCTTCACCTCACTTGCTTGCTCACCACATTACTATGGTTGTTGAGCAAAGACAACATCTGTATAATGCGTCACACACTGCTCTATAACCATAAATTTAAAATTAAAGTCTTTGTTTCTATGTTGAAAGTTAGATTACTCTTCTACAAACTGTCAAGACAAGCTGTTTTGTACTAGTTGAGAGCATTTGGACGACTATCTAGACCTTTACATTTATATATATGTTTTATATTTGCATATTATTGCATGCTTACTTAACCTCATTGTCCCTCAAAATCTGATACATGATTCTTCTATTAAATGTGATTCAGTGCACTTGAAACTTAGTAAGACACTGCAATTCAACTACAGTGTAGATGTCTCACTGTATAAATATTTATGATCAACCAATTTATTGCCCTGCTAATTTACTCAATACTCATACAGCCATAGAGTTATATAGCATGGAAACTGGCCCTTCGGTCCAACTCATCCATGCTGACTAGCTATCCTAAACTGATCTAGTCCCATTTGCTAGTTCTTGGCTCGTATCCCTGTAAACGCTTCATATTCACATACCCATCCAGGTGCCTTTTAAGTGTCGTAATTGTACCAGGTTCCACCACTTTCTCTGGCAGCTTGTCCCATACACGCACCACCTTCTGTGTGAAGAAGTTGCTCCTCAAGTCTCTTTTAAAATTTCCCCCCCTCACCTTAAACCTATGTCCTCTAATGTTGGACTCCCCCATCCTGGGAAAAAGACCTTGACTCTTCATCCTATCCATGCCCCCCATGATTTTATAAACCTCTATGAGGTCACCTTCAGCCTCCAATACTCCAGGGAAAATAGCCCTAGCTAATTCAGCCCCTCACTCAAACCCTCCAAACCAGCAATGTCCTTGTCAATTTTTTCTGATCCCTGTCAAGTTTAACAACATCGTTCTTCTAGCAAGGAGATCAGAATTGAACGCGGAATTCCAAAAAATTCTAAAATTCAAAAAATTCTACAGCTGCAACATGCCATCCCAACTCCTATACTCAATACACTGACCAATGAAGGCAAGCATGCCAAAATCATGCAAAAGAAATGATATGGTTCATGTTTAAGACATTCACTATCTGGATGTTTTTGTTTTTTTCTTCCCCCCTCATTTCTATATACAACCATATATCAAGTGAAAGCAAAGTACTGTGGATGTGGGAAATCTAAAATAAAAAGCAGAAATTGCTGGAGAAACTCAAGGTCTGATATTATCTGTGGAGAGAGAAACAAAACAGATGCTGCCAAATCTGCTGAGTTCTCCATTTTATGTTTTTATTTCAGATGTCAAGTGACTTGCATGATATTGTTTTCCTGTAATTTCTCATATCTGAACAAACAATGAATTGAGAACAATGCTTCCTCTTTTCACCTGCAATCAGCAGATCGGGTAGTTTGAATTGGATTACCTTGCGGTCACGATTGATTGTTACTATTTGCTTGAATGTGTTAACAGAAGGAGCACTCTATTGGTTTATCATCAGATATGTAGGAATGAATAAATCAGAGTAGATTGCAGCAAAATATTACACACAGAATTACTTACTGGTGAGCAAACATATGAGCCTGTTGGAAAGCCTCTGGGTCCAGATGAGCATCATCCTCGGGTCATAAGAGAACTTGTGAACGAGGAGTAGATGCATTGATAATTTTGCAAAATGTCTCCGATTCAGTAAAGGCTCCGTTGGACTGAAAAGTAGCAAGTTAACCCCTCTGCTCAAGAAGAGGTAAAGGCAGAAAAGAGGAAGCTATAGCCAGTTAACTCTATCTGTCAAGAGAAAGCATTTAGAATAGATCGTTAAAGAGATTATCGCTGTGCATTCAGAAAGACTCGATAGTCAAGAAGAGTCGCGTGGTTTCATCAAAGGGGAATTGTGTTTAATTTTTTTGGAGTTCTTTGAAATAACATGATGAAAACCTATGCCTGTAATATACTTGGATTGCCAGAAGGAATTTGGAAAGGTGTCACATCAAAGATAATTGTAGGCGGTAGCATATTAGCTAGGATAGGTAATTGGCTTGGTGGCTGAATTACTTTCACATGATAAATAAAGCCCTGCAGGGGTTTATACTGGGGCCTCAACTTTTTAAAATGTTTTAGGTGAGGGGAATAAAGTCACGGTAGCTAAATTCATGGACAACACACAATTAAAATAGGCTGTGAAGAAGAAAGTTGCGGGCACGTACGGTTTGTGAGTAGGCAAAATTCTGACAAGTGGAGCGTAGTGTCGGTAGATGTGAAATTGTTCACTTGATAGGAACAATGAAAATATTTAGATGGAGAACAACTGCAGAATTCCAAGGTGCGTGGGAATATGGGTGTTTTGGTGCATGAGTCAGAAAAAGTTATTATCCAGGTAGAGAACACAATCAAGAATGGTAATGGGATGCTATCTTTTATTATGAGAGGAATTGAACATAAAAGCATCCATGTATAACTTAGGTAAAGAATGACTGCACTTTTCCAAGGTGTAGAGGGATTTAGGTGTTTTCAGTGCATGAGTCACAAAAAGTTAGGATGCTAATACATGTATTAAGGGATGTTATTTTTTACGACAAGAGGAGTTGAACATGTAAGTACAGCATCTTTGCTTTTGCTGTACAGGTCATCTCTAATATTATGTGCAGTTTTGATTCCTCACAGTATATAAATGCATTGCATGTGTTTAAGTGGAAGTTGTACTTGAATAATAGCTGGAATGATTATGATGCCTAGTTGGACACATTGAGCTTATTTCCACTGGGGTTTAGAAGACAGTTGGATGACTTGATTGAAATGTATAGTGTCCTGTATGGTCTTGAAAAAAATGGATGTGGAAAACATGTTTTTCTAGGGGAACTGTTGAAACATTAAAGGTTACCCTTCTGGAGGAGGTACCTGACTGTTGGAGACCCAAAATTCACCATGACATTTGGCAAAATTTAAGTTCAGTTAATAAATCTGAATATAATAATCATCAGCGATGGCAACCATGAAACTATCATCAATTGTCATAAAACATTTCTTGGTCACTACTGTTCTGCAGGAATGGACATCTATCCTTGTCAGATTTGGCCTAAATCTGACTCTAGCCCTACAGCAATGAGAGTAGCTTTTAACCGCCCTCTGAAAATGGCAGAGCAAAATACTCAGTTCAAAGATAATTATATTAGGAATGGGTAACAAATGTTAGCCTTGCCAGTGAAGGTTACATCCAATGAAAGAATAAAGAAAAACTGTACAAGACTTCAGTTAGGCCATATCTGGAGTATGGTGTGCAGTCTAGTGTCCCCTTCTGTAGGAAGGATGTGGAGGTTTTGGAGAGGGTGCGCAAAAGATTTACCAGAATGTTGCCTGGTTTGGAGTGTATTGGCTATAAGGAGAAATTGGAAAAACTTGGAATTTTTTTGCCAGTGTTGGAGGCTGAGGGATAACCTGTTAGAAATGTACAAAATTATGACAGGCATGGATAAGATGGAGAGTTGGAGTCTTTTTCCCTGGATGGAAATGTCAAATACTAGGTGCAGGGGTTTAAGATGAGCGGGGGAAAAATGTAAAGGTGATGTGCAAGGAAAGTTTTTTTTTTTTGTTTTTACAGAGGATAGTTGGTGCCTGAAACACCTGGCCAGGGAAGGTGGTAGGAGCAGAAACAATAGCAACGTTTAAGAAGCATTTAGACAGACACGAACGGGGAGAGAATAGAGAGATATGGACTGTTTTCGGGCAGATAGGATTAGTTTAGAAAGGCATCATGATCAATGCAAACATAGTGGGCCAGAGAGCTGTTGCTGTTCTGTTCTTGACTATGTTCTGAGAGAAGTATATTGTGCACCTCGTGCATGGGGTCTGTTCAACCAACTCAGCAGTATTTACAGAGCCATGGCCATAGTTTGTCTCCAATGCTGATTGCTCTATCTCTGGAAAGATTTTTGATGTTGGCACCAATAACCCTGTTATTGGGCACAAGACAGGGAAGAACCCATGTTCACTCCAACCGCATCCTGACCTAATCCCAAGGCTATGCTCAACTACAACTTGCAAACTGCTGCTGGAACCCGCCTTAGCCTCCAAGATACAAAAATATGACAGTTCACAGGCAGACTTATGTTTGGGAAGCTGCAAAAGGCCATTTTGCTAGCTCTTGACAAAAATCCAGCTCAAGGAGTCTTGAGTAATATAAATGAATTAAGTGATTGGGAAGAAATTTGGCTAAAGGAGTATGATAGAAATGTGAGGTTTAACAACTTTGATCGGAGGAATATGAAAGAATATTATTTAAATCAGGGGAGACGATAGTGTTGCAGTACAGAGGGCTCTAGTTTCCCTTGTACATGATCATAAAAGGATAGCAAACAGATACAGCAACTAATTAGGAAGTCAAATACTGGCCTTATTGCAAAGTGCTGGAGTAGGCTGTTGTATTACAATAATACAGGACATTGATGAGACCAAACTGCTGCTTTAAGCTTTCTTATTTAAGGAGGAATATGCTTGAATTGGAGGCAGTCCAAAGAAGATTCGCTTTGTTGATTTCTGTCTTGTAAGTTGTCTTGTAAGGCAAGATTGAGCAGATGAGGTTATTGTCATCGGAGTTTGCAAAACTAAGAGGTGATCTGAGGAAGCTTCACAGGTAGATGTTAAGAGGACGTTTCTCCTCGGGGAGAAATTAGAACAAGGCGATGCAATTTCAAAATAAGAGGTCTCCCATTCAAGACTGAAACGAGGACTTATTTTCTCAGAAGGCCATTTGTGTTCAGAATTCTCTTGACCAGTGGAAGCTGAATCATTGGCTGTGAAATGTTTTTGATCGACAAGGATTTTGAGGGTTATGTAGAACAAACAAGAAATGAAGTTGAGGCCACAATCACATTAGCCGTGATCTTGTTGAATGGCAGGGCAGACTCGAGACAAATGGTCTACTTTTCCTTTTTTAAAATATTCATGTTTAATGCTCACAAATGATGCTACATCAAATGTTACTTTTAAATCTAAGACTGATAGTATTTTTTCGTCCAAAGGAATTAGGGGATATTGGGCAAAGGCCCCAGCCTGGAGTTGGGGCCCCAGCCTGGAGTTGGGGCCCCAGC